CTCTGCCATCACCATGCTACTGGATAGTCCTGGATAGTTTGGGTTGCTTGCAAAATGTGTTCTACTGGCAAGAAAGCAGCAATGAGCACCATTGTTCATCTTAGAGTCACTTCATTCTTTTCAGAGTGAATGACTGTGCATGGGCTGTTATTGTGGAAACAGTCTATTGCAAGACAGACTAATGCTGCAGTTTATACCTGAAATACTTTTTTAGTCTTCATTTGCTATGGATATTGTCTATAGTTCTTTTAGATAATCACCTAAACAATATATATAAAATGCTCTGAAACTTTAAAGCAGCATAAGAAGCACATATAGAAGAATTAAAAAAAATAAAACAGTCAAGAACCTCCATGGTGGGAGTGAAGCGCGGAGAGGACAGAGTTGGAGCAGAAGCTGTGCTGGTGGAGTAAGTTGCTATGAATGCAGCCAACGACCAGGCGCTGCTAGTCCAGTTGATTTCTATGGAACTTTTCAGTTACACTATCTCACAATCCTATCTAATAAAGAGGGAATATGCAAATTGACCATCACACTGTCACAAAAGATGGCGGCGCCTAGTCCCCTCAGCCCTGCTTGTGGGGGAGTGGCAGGTCCACGGTGCGGCTGGACCTGCCTTCAGCCCCCCAGCCGCCCAGGGCTGGCCCGAGGCACAGGCAATCCTCCCATGTTGGCTGCCCAGCAGACGCCTGAGGCCGCCCGAGGCTTAGGTAACTAGGGCCGGCCGAGGCTTGCGCTGCTGGCAGTGGCTGCAGCAGAGGTGTGACGGGGGCATCACCTTCCCCTGATTTCTGGGTTGCCTCCCACCTCTGAGGGCTCCCCGACTATGAGAGGGGGCAGGCCAGGCTGAAGGACCCCCCTCCAATGCATGAATTTTCATGCACCGGGCCTCTAGTTTGTAAATAACGGTGGTGGGCAGCTCCCTGGTTTAAATATTTATACATGCCAGAGTGTCTTGCAACAGATGAACAGCCGGGGCTACCAAGGAACTTGGAGAGCGGCTGCGTGTTTAATAGCCTCACAAAACCCCAGAGAGACACGTGTGCTTCCTGGGACGCTGTGCGCAGACCCTCACCTCCCTTTGGGGGCAGATTGAGGCTCCGAGGGGCCCCAGGCCCTGGTCTGAAGAGCTGGCCCAAAGCTGGGAGGGTCCTTCTTTTGCACTAAAAGAACTCCAGGCGTTGGAGAGTTTTCTTCCTTTTCTTGGCTTCAGGATGACTCTAGTTAGGCTGCATCCTTTCATGTACACCCGAGCCTGGGCACTGAAATGCCGCCGAGTGCTCCTGCTGCCTCCTCACGCCACAAAGGGGCTCACTGCCCGTCCTCATCCGCCCCAAGGAGGCTGAGCAGCTTCCCTGGGCCACGTGTCTCCAGGCAGCACCCGGACACGCCAGCACTGCCTTCACCCCCCTCTCCCAAGGACAGAGTGGCTTTCCGTGTGGAGTTTCATCTCCCTGTGCAGGTGTGCCCGTCCCAGAGGCGACGAAGCTGCAGGGAGTCAGAGCTTCATCCTCCTACGTGACCAAGGAGAAAGTGGGCTTCATTTCTGTTCCCCGACGGAAGGGAAGCACTCAGGTGAGCGCACCTGGCGCTGAGCTGATCCCAGTGTCATCAGATGCCCTGCGCGGCCACCAGGAATTACGGGAAACTCCTGCTGTAAAGGAAGCTTCCTCTCTGATAAGAAAACAGTATTGCCTGATGATATTAGTTTTTATTTATGTCAAGATTGTCTTTTTTTAACCTAAAAATGATACATATAGAATTTGAGTAAAGAATAGTCCTGGAAACCTCTGGGCAGGGACTGACCCCAAGCAGCACGGAGCACTGTCGATACCGTCGCACCAGGTCAGTGCTGCATCCACAGGAGACGCTGGGTTCAATTAAAGGGCGTGACCCCGAGCCCAGCCCATCCGCTCGAGCCCCATGGAAGCCAGTGAACCAGCCCTGCCCTGAGATGCCTGCACTGCCGTCGATGGACACACCATGGTGAGAGACACGGAGAGAACAGGAAGTAGGGCGTGCTGGCTGAGGCAGTCAGTGAACAGCAAAATCTCGCGAAGAGGCTCTGGCTGAAGAGTCCCGGGAGAGGTTGGGACAGACGCGTGAGGAGGGAGCTGAGGACAGAGCCAGCGAGCTTTCTCACTAGAGACATGGAAACCAGAGCGGGGTGAGGGCTGAGGAGATAATGTGGCTTCTAATCTGTGCTGAGAGTTTATAGTGAAAAAAAGTAAAAAAATCAAGCTACACTAGAAAGAGTGACATCAAATAGTGGGTGACCCTAAAATATCAAAGGGACCCTGAATCAGGAGCAAACGGTGAGCAGTCAGGCTGCGTCTGCGGAAGGCAGGGAGCAGGGCAGCCCTGAGTCCAGGAGGAAGACCAGGTTTGGGGGCATGACACTCATTCGAGGTCAAGGTCGTTGGGCCTGTGTGGGTACCAGGGAGCAATCAGACCAGAGTCAGCGACACAGGAAACAGAACCTGGGGCTCCATCCCGGCAGGCGTTCCCGTCCTCAGTGGACGTGGGACCATCCACGCAGAAAACCAGACGTGGGCTCGGGGCGGCAGGGCTGGCTGGCGCTGTCTGCACCGCATCGCCAGGCCCAAGCCCCCACAGTAGGGGCTCAGTGCAGATTTCCTGCACGCTCACTGGCTGAAGTAGACTGTGAAGCTCACCTTTCTCTGGAAACTGCCCTTAACTCTTTTTGGTGGTGAGCCTGAGTGTGAGAAACACAGTCTGGAATCAGGAGACCCGTGATCAAGGACTGCTTACAAACCTGGTCACGGGGCGGAGGACAGCTTTTCTGATTCTCCGTTTTCTCATTTGTAAGTCAGAGACCAGCATCCACCTTGCATTTTTACTCCAAGTTTTTGAGATTAAAATGCCCAGCATACACCCAGGCACATGTGAATGACCCAGAGTCCACGGGGCCTGTGAGCTAAGAGGGGGTCTCCCCAGCACGCTCTCTTCCCTTTGATCAAATCTTCCGAATTTCTGAGTTGTATCATTGGTTACTTTGTGCTGCCATTACCATATCTATATTGTCTCCCTCAGCACACGGACTTCTCAGTACACCAAACGCTAATCTCCTTATCGTGCCTAGGAAATTAGACTCCGCGTAGCCAGTGTGGCCTGTTTCTCCTGATCCTACAAGAACTGAAGCTCCCGCCTGCCTCGCTCCCGCAGCACGAGCTCCGGGCAGGGCCATGGTGCCCGGGACGCTCCGGCACATGCTGCTGCTCGTGTGAACCGGGGGATGAGTTCAGAAATTATGAAGTTACGTGACAAATCCATCGGCAGGTGGAGCGTAAAAGAATGGAACGCCTGCCAGAAGTTATCTTCAACAGAAGTAATTCTTAGAAAAAAGCAGAGACCCGTGGAACCAGAAGTTAACTTCCGGGAGAGGCTAGAAGCTCTTTCCTGTAGAGCAGGTCACCAACCGGTGGTCTGAGCGCCACTGGTGTCCGTGAGGTCCGAAAGGCTGGCGACCGCTGCTGTAGAGTTTTGATGAAGTTAACGGGGGGGGGCGGGGTTTCGAGAAGAATTCAAACACAGGTGATTCTCACACACCTGTCTTGCTAACGGAAATAGCGGCTCCTGCGTGCTCCCCGAGCGGTGGCCCAGGGACCTTCTATTCCCCGGATCCTGGACCGGCACCTCGTCAAGGGCTCACTCCTCACTCGGCTCCCAGTGAGCAGAGCAGGGAGTCGGCGAAAAGGACCGTCAGACATGAAGACCCGCGTCTCCTCCGAGAGTGCGGTCTAACGGGTCTAACAGGGTCTCAGAACCCAGACTCCGTGCCCGCCACGATAAGGTGGGCACGTCGGTGACACACTATGATACTGCGGGGTAACGACGGGAGTTAAAACTCAGCCAAAAGGGTGGAAGCAGAATCCTTCGCTTGTCATCAGGCGACTTGCAGGATAAACAGAAATGACCTCATAAGCTTTTTATTGGACTCCTTGCATCGTAATTCATTAATCTGCTTAAAGTGGGTGGGAGACGCTGCTGGAGCGCTGCAGGACCTTCCAGAACGCGGGAATCAGCCCCGGGGGCGGCGAGCCGGGTGCACGTTCCACCAATCACACCCTCGCACCAGGAAGGGAGCAGAGCGCTCTGTCTGTAAACATTACATGAAATCTGTCTTTCTACGTACAGCCCCTGGCGGATAGGAAACCCTGCATAAGTCGGAAAATATTTCACTATTTATTGATTTGTGAGCACCAAAAATGAGGGCACATTATTTTTAAATGGATGCTATTGGTAAAAATGTGGCTCTTTTAATACTCTAATGCTAACGTAAAACATATTTTTCATTAATCTTTAAGATCAGTTTACAAATATTGAGGGAGAAAATGACTTTTCAGTATTATTCTATATTCACGTTTCAATATTATGTGACTTCCTTTACTACACTGTGTATTGGTGTGATTGAGAACCGATGGCATTAAAAAGCACATTTATCAAAACGTAGAAACTGTTTTAGCTTCTAACCTTTAAGAGATAATGTGAACTAGGTAAGCACAGAAGCAGAGTGTGTGTGTGTGTGTGTGTGTGTGTGTGTGTGTGTGTGTGTGAAATGAGAGGGACGCCTCGTGGAGAACAATCAGCTCACAGGCCCCAGGAGACCAGGTCAGCGCTCTCCTGGACACCATGACAGGGATCTCCTCCAGAGGGGCCTGCACTGGCGCCTCCGGGACCTTGCCAGGCAGCTCCTCGCGGGGTGTCCCCTGGGCTGGCCGTCTGTTCCCAGGGCGGCATTTCCTCACCCTCAGCTCCCAGCACCTCGGCGGCTCCGGTGAGTGCGCCCGGCAATAGGTGGTGCCGTGTCTCTGCTGGACGCTGACGCCCATGGGTGCCTTTAGTTTTTAAGACACTTTTGTGAACCTTCTGATTGTGAGCCGTCTGGGAAGGTGGCGTTAGAAGGCACGAGGACTGATTTTCGAAAGCTACACCGTGGACCCTTCAACTGCCCGTGAAACGAGAAACCCAGCTCCTACCTTGAACACAAACATCTCCCGGCGGAGGACGGCCAGCGTGTTGAAGTTGCCTTCGCAGATGCTGGGCTTGGCCCCAGGGTAAGCAGGCCTGCCGGTGGGCGGCCGCGGCGGCTTGGGCCTGTCGTTCCTGC